GATTCCTTTTTTCAATGTCCTCCTTCACAGTCACCCTTCTCCTGCTACTGAAAGGATGATGGCTCGTTCACCCATTCGGAGACTCATTTTGGTGCCTTGCCCCATGAATAGCAATTCAAGAAAACATCCTTTCCAAGAGTGAGATCTATGAAAACAAATCCAATAAAAATTCAGCAAGAAATATTAAAGCATCCAGCATTGTATTGTCATTCAATTTTCATATAAATGCAGATTCAAAATTTAATTTAAAATTTAGATGTGAAACGGTTATCAGACAGAAACACATAAAGTGCAATAATAAGAATACAAATACTTCATTTTTTTAAATGGTTAAAATATTTGGATAGAAATTTCATGAAAAAGATACACAGATTAAAAATAAGCCCATAAGATTAAAAAAAAAAACACACAATAAAATACTTACACACATCTAGTTACAATGGCTAAAATATAAAAGATTGATCATACCAAAGGTTGGCAAGGATATGGAAAAACTGAAATCCTTATACACTACTGGTAAAATGATACAACTACTTTGGAAAACAGTTTGGCAGTTCCTTAAAAAGTTAAACATACATCTACCACATGGTCTAACCATTCCACTCTTACCGATCCAAGAGAAAAGAAAGCATATATCCATACAAAGACCTGTACTCATGGCAGCTATATTTGTAATCCACAAAAACTGGAAATAACCCAAAAGGTCATCCATGGGTGAATGAAAAAATTGTGGTACATCCATACAATGGAATACTACAAAGCAACTTTAAAAAATAAATTCTTGACATAAGCAGAACCTGAATCTCAAAATAGTTACAGCAACTTTAAAAAATTCAGATCACAAAAAGTACATACTATATAATTCCATTTATATAATACTCTAGAAAATGCAAATTTATCTACAGTGACAGAAAGCACTGTAGAATAGAAAGGAGGGTTTACAAAAGGACATGAGCAAACTTGTGGATAATAGATATGCGCATTACCTTGATTACAGTGATAGTTGTATGGGTATAAACTTGTATCAAAACATCCAACTGTACACTTTAAATAATTTTATATCAACTGTATCTCTTTTTTTCTTTTTGAGATGGAGTCTCATTCTGTAGCCCGGCATGGGAGTACAGTGGCACAATCTTGGCTCACTGCAACCTCCACTCCTGGGTTCAAGCGATTCTCCTGGCTCAGCCTTCTGAGTAGCTGGAATTACAGGAGTGTGCCACCATGCCTGGCTAATTTTTGTATTTTTAGTAGAGACGGGGTTTCACCATGTTGGTTGGGCTGGTCTTGAACTCCTGACCTTGTGATCTGCCTGCCTCAGCCTCCCAAAGTGCTGAGATTACAGGCATGAGCCACCATGCCCGGTTTTTGTTTTTGTTTTTTAAACAGAGTTTTGTTCTTATTGTCCAGGCCAGAACACAATGGCACGATCTCAGCTCCCTGCAACCTCTGCCTCCCGGGTTCTAGCGATCCTCCTGCCTCAGCCTCTCAAGTAGCTGGAATTACAGGCATGCACCACCACACCCAGCTAATTTTTGTGTTTTAGTAGAGATGGGGTTTCACCATATTGGCCAGGCTGGACTCGAACTCCTGACCTCATGTGATCCACCTGCCTCGGCCTCCCAAAGTGCTGGGATACAGGCATGAGCCACTGCGTCTAGCCTATGTCAACTATATCTCAATAAAGCTGTCTAAAAAATTAAATAATGGTAAGAAGACTATTAAGCTTCATATCATTGGTTTATTCGAAGCATAGTTCTATCAAGATTGAACATTTGTTCCTTGCCTAAACCATACAAGCTTCAAACTCTTCCACTTCCATAGCCTATCAATCCTACTTCTTTTTTTTTTTTTTTTTTTTTTGAGACGGAGTTTCGCTCTTGTTACCCAGGCTGGAGTGCAATGGCGCAATCTCGGCTCACCGCAACCTCCGCCTCCTGGGTTCAGACAATTCTCCTGCCTCAGCCTCCGGAGTAGCTGGGATTACAGGCACGCGCCACCACGCCCAGCTAATTTTTTGTATTTTTAGTAGAGACGGGGTTTCACCATGTTGACCAGGATGGTCTCGATCTCTTGACCTCGTGATCCACCCGCCTCGGCCTCCCAAAGTGCTGGGATTACAGGCTTGAGCCACCGCGCCCGGCCCAATCCTACTTCTAAACTGTAACCTGCCCTTCCTCTTCCAAATCTGGCCAGACATTTAATACATGCTGTCAACACAAATACCCCAGAGTAAGCTATGCAAGAGTGTGGATGACTTAGCTAAATGCCCTGCTGCTACTTGAAAAATTTTAAGTTTAATGAAGGTTAAACTGAGTGTAACTGACCTATAATTGCCCTAAGTCTAAAGTAGTTTAAGAAGCTGATAGGTGCCAAGTGTGGTGGCTCATGCCTGTCCCAGCACTTTGGGAGGTGGGCAGATCACCTGAGGTCAGGAGTTCAAGACCAGCCTGGCCAACATGGTGAAACCCCGTTTCTACCAAAAATATAAAAAATTAGCCTGGTGTGGCGGCACACACCTGTAATCCCACCTACTCGGGAAGCTGAGGCAGGGAGAATCACTTGAACCCTAGAGGCGGTGGTTGTAGCGAGCCGAGATCTTGCCACTGCACTTCCAGCCTGCCAACAGACAAGACTCCAACTCAAAAAAAAAAAAAAAAAGAAGCTGATAGGTGAGCTATCGGTGCATTAATCTCATAGACAATCTTAGCAGGTTGAAGTCGATGGGTTTTGATTGACTGACTACATTGTAAATTGTAAATACATGCAATTTTAAGTTATCTGAATAAACTTTTCTATTCATTAACAGTAGTCATCTCAATTTTAGAGGCTTCTGTAATACTTGTGTGCCTCCATCTGCATGCACAACACGGTAAGACTAAATAGACACCAAAGATACTCTGGGTTCTTGCTACTAAACAAATATTTAAGCACTATGTGCACATTGTTACAATTAATAAGGCAATCTGACCCCATCCCTGCTGCCAGGAAACTGCAATACTATTAATATATTATAGTAATATATTAAAGAGGAAGACAACTGAGTTAAAGAGAATATGGGAGGGGGAGGGTGTGGTTAGGAGATATCAGAAAACAATCTCTACAGACTCTCAACAGCCATCCTTTATGCTTGATCTTCAGTTCAGTGGCTCTAGGATCCCAAGGGCCCTCCTAACTGCATTGCCTTCTCTCTCCAACTCCCTTTGTCTCAGAATGTTATACCTTCCCCCATTTAAGTGGAGGCTTAAAATATATCTGTGTATTCTTACCTACTGACAAACAGCTGGAATTGTTCATGGGAAAGGAGTCAAGGAAAAATAGCTAACGCATTCAGATCCTTGGAGTTTCCTTTTTAATTTATTGCTTTTGCCGGGCACGGTGGCTCAAGCCTGTAATCCCAGCACTTTGGGAGGCCGAGGCGGGTGGATCACGAGGTCGAGAGATCGAGACCATCCTGGTCAACATGGTGAAACCCCGTCTCTACTAAAAATACAAAAAAAAAAAAAACTAGCTGGGCGTGGTGGCTCGTGCCTGTAATCCCAGCTACTTAGGAGGCTGAGGCAGGAGAATTGCCTGAGCCCAGGAGGCGGAGGTTGCGGTGAGCCGAGATCGTGCCATTGCACTCCAGCCTGGGTAACAAGAGCGAAACTCCGTCTCAAAAAAAAAAAAATATATATTGCTTTTTTGAGATGGAGTATCAGTATGTTGCCCAGGCTGCAGTGCAATAGTGGTATCTTTGCGAGTCTCTGTCTCAAAATTAAAAAAAAAAAAAATCATTAGAGTCTTCATCTCAGGATGGACTAAGGCTGTGGCATGCTGCTAAGCATTTAAAAATAAAGAGGGAGGATGGCCCGGATTTGCAGTACCTGAGTAATGGCAATACTCCCACCCAGTCTGATTTCAAGGTCCCCTTGAGATTATTGAATTCGAAGTTCAAAAGGTATGCGCCTAGTATTCCCACAGCACAAATACAAGAGGTAAATAACCTCAAAAGCATTGATAACAGTAAAATAATTACAGTACCCATTACCCTTTCAGTGTCTATTACCTTCGTTTGTAATATAATTTAACTGTGAATTTACATAACGAAAAAGTCTTCCAAGGTGCAAGCGCGCTCCTGGGGAGGGTATGAGGCTGTTGGCAAGGAAAGCAGCTTTTCTTTTCTTTCTCTTTCTTTCTTTCCTTCCTTCCTTTCTTTTGTCTTTCTTTTTCTTTTCTTTCTTTCTTTCTCTTTCTTTCTTTCTTTTCAAAGCGTCTCAGTCACCAGTTCATCATGGCTTGTGACTGAGAAGGAAAGCAGCTTTTCTTTTTTTTTTTTTTGAGACGGAGTTTCGCTCTTGTTACCCAGGCTGGAGTGCAATGGCGCCATCTCGGCTCACCGCAACCTCCGCCTCCTGGGTTCGGGCAATTCTCCTGCCTCAGCCTCCTGAGTAGCTGGGATTACAGGCACACGCCACCATGCCCAGCTAATGTTTTGTATTTTTAGTAGAGACGGGGTTTCACCATGTTGACCAGGATGGTCTCGATCTCTTGACCTCGTGATCCACCCGCCTCGGCCTCCCAAAGTGCTGGGATTACAGGCGTGAGCCACCGCGCCCGGCCGGAAAGCAGCTCTTCAATGGTATGAATGCCCTTCGTGTCCAGACGGCCCTCTATAAATCAGCCCTATCGACCGCGTCCCAGAGACTCGTCCACGCCCTTCTAGAACACACTTCATTCATGCCACTCCTAGCGTGCGCTCCTACCCGCCCGAGGGGCTCGTCTCCCGCGGGTGACACAGAAGCACTATTTGGTGACTATTTGGTGACACAGAAGCACTACGGTCGCCTGGGCCACACGGGAAGAAGGACCGCGAAGACTCCAGTCGGCGCCCGGGCTGAGGGGCTGAGGGGCCGAAAACGGCAGCCGGCATCCGCTCAAGCCGCGCTCCCCTCACCTTTGAGACGCCCCGGAAGGGGCCCCTGGCAGAAGCGGGAAGTCTTCCGGAAGGAAAAGGCCGGAACCAGAAGATTGGCTCCCAGCCGTGCGCTGCCCGGGGCCCCGCCAGCCTCACACCCCGCCCGCTGCCGTACGCACCGCCTCCTTGCCAAGCTCCGCGCGGCGCCCAACCCAAGGGTTCACTCGGGCGAGCGGTCTCGCGGTGGAGGGACCGCGCGCCGGCCGTGGCGAGGCCAAAGGCGGCCGGGTCTCCCGCGCTGCTCCGAGCCATGCTGAGGAGCTGCGCCGCGGGGCTGCGCCCGCTCGGGACCCTGCGCCGGCTGCCAGGAGGCCGGCGCGCGCCGGGCAGCGAGCCGCGAGCGGCGCTGGTGAGTCTGGGCATTCCCGGGTGTGGGGCGGGAGCGGGACTCGCAGTCAGAAACACGCCTGCCGTAGCAGAGCCTTCGACCGGCCGACCTCAGAATAAATCTCACTTCGGCACCACACGGCGGCATAAGCAGCCGGGGCCTGGGAATACTCAGTCCTGAAATTCTGACCGTAAGAAACAGGACGGGAAAGTCACCCCGGTTTGTTTTTTTGTTTGGTTTTGTTTGTTTGTTTGTTTGTTTGTTTTAGTTTTTTGTGTGTTTTAAGAGACAAGGTCGGCCGGGCGCGGTGGCTCATCCATGTCATCCCAACACTTTGGGAGGCCGAGGCGGGCGGATCACCTGAGGTCAGGAGTTCGAGACCAGCCTGACCAACATGAGAAACCTCGTCTCTACTAAAAATACAAAATTAGCCGGGCGTGCTGGGGCCTACCTGTAATCCCGACTACAAGGGAGGTTGAGGCAGTGGAGGTTGCCTCCAGCCTGGGCTACAGAGCAAGACTCCGTCTCAAAAAAAAAAAAAAGAGAGAGAGAGACAGCGTTTAGCTCTGTCACCCAGGCTGAAGTGCAGTAGCAGTCACTGTAATCTTGAACTCCTGGGCTCAAGCGGTCCTCCTGCCTGAACCTCACAAAGCACTGGGATTACAGGCGTGAGTCACTACGCTCTGCCTTTTTTTTTTTTTTTTTTTGAGACGGAGTTTCGCTCTTGTTGCCCAGGGTGGAGTGCAATGGCGCGATCTCGGCTCACCGCAACCTCCGCCTCCTGGGTTCAGGCAATTCTCCTGCCTCAGCCTCCTGAGTAGCTGGGATTACAGGCACACGCCACCATGCCCAGCTAATTTTTAGTATTTTTAGTAGAGACAGGGTTTCACCATGTTGACCAGGATGGTCTCGATCTCTTGACCTCGTGATCCACCCGCCTCGGCCTCCCAAAGTGCTGGGATTACAGGCTTGAGCCACCGCGCCCGGCCTCATTTTTTTTTTTTTTCTAATTTATTTTTAATTGACAGATAAAAACTCGTATGTTTATCGTGTACAACATGATGTTTTGAAGTATGTATACTCAACTCAGTTTTGAAGCAGAGTGCAGGATGCTGGACTCTGTTCAATTCAGCAGGGAAAGGACCACTACTGCTACGACTAATACTAATAAAGGTTCTTCAGGGTCACACACTCTGAACCTAGGCAGTCTGGCTCCTAACCATTGCCGATCCCAGAAGAGCACCATCTCTTCCAGTGGTTTAATCCTGATTCTCTCTGACTTGTCTTGTTTCTGAGAAACAAAACAGCCAACACTGGAAGTGAGCAGAAGGCTTCTGGATTTGAGATAATCATTAATATCCTCTCCTAAGCCAGTTTCTTCACCTTTAAAGGTTGTTAGATTATGATGTAATGCAAGCAAACTGTTTAACTCAATGCCTAAAATAGTATTAAATGTTACCTGTTTACATATCTCTATTTTGTGCTTTACTGATGTATTCAATAAATACCGATTAAGCCCCAACACTATGTCAGGCATTACTGGCCACTGACGATGTACAGGTAAGAAAGAAACAATCCTTTCTCTTAAGAAGCTCACAATCTAGTGTAGGAGAACCGGTGTCTAAAGACAAAATTATAACATATTTACTTTAAAGATCTTAATTGGCTTTTATTTGCAATGGTAGAATCACGCAACTCCTCATTCTATAAAGTAGAATGTTAGGATGAACTGAGCCGAGGAGGTTGACTTTATAGACATAAAGGGAAACCCCGTCACTACAAAAAATTAGCTGGACATAGTGGCACATGAATGTGATCCCAGCTACTTGGGAGGCTGAGGTAGGAGGATCTCTTGAGCCCAGGAGGTTGCAGTGAACTGTGATCACACCACTGCACTCCAGCCTAGGCAACAGAGGTGAAACTTCTCAAAAAAAAAAAAAAAAGAAAGAAATTCCGCAGGGTTGGGTCATGTAATGCCCTCACATGTTCCCTCCTTGCACAGAAGTTTTCTTGAAGCTAACCCATTTCCATAACTTGCTTATCCTAACCCAGGAGTCTGTTTTTTGGTGGCAAGCATTCTGATGCTCTCAAGTGCAGGCCACGTTCTGGTTTTCGCATTGAGATCCCCTTAACCAAATCAGCCAATGATTTTTCCCTACCTAAGCATACAAGAAAAAGAAATTAAGATAACAGACATAAAATCCCTGTGAATTTCTGAAAGCCAGAGTTTACACCCCCTGCAATAATTGCCATTTATTGCCAGTTTCTGTCTGACCCAGTCAGACACCTGAGACCTCCCTAGGGGACCAAGTTATGTTTCTGTCAAGACTGTCACTCTTGCCAGTGACTCACCAAGCCACTGCAAACCCCAAAAGGTCATATGCTATCACATAGCACAAACTAATCTTTGGTCCCCACCCCAAGTTCATGTTTCCTCTCATAGCACAAACTAATCCTGGAATTAGAAGCCAAAATGATCAAGGTAGATCAATGCAAAAAGAGCAAAGTCTACGCTGGGCAGGTGGCTCATGACTGTAATCCCAGCACTTTGGGAGGCCAAGGCAGGCAGATCACAAGGTCAGGAGTTCGAGACCATGCCAGCATGTAAAACCCCATGTCTACTAAAGATACAAAAAAATAGCCAGGTGTGATGGTACATGCCTATAATCCCAGCTCCTCAGGAGGCTGAGGCAGGAGAATCGCTTGAACCCAGGATGCGGAGGTTGCAGTGAGCCAAGATTGCACCATTTCACTCCAGCATGGAAGACAGGCAAGACTCTGTCTCAAAAAAAAAAAAAAAAAAAAAGTAAAGTCTGACCATGGTTGTACAATCTTCGGACTCTTTGAAGCAGACAGGGGAGCCTCAAAAGACATGGCCAGTGTCTCTTGCATACGTCAAGGGATCTCAGGAGTTGTCAGCAGTGTCCCTGCAGTCCCTTTGTCCATGTGGGCCAGAACTGTCATAAAATAAGATTACAAATTTAGTTTATAAACTAAAGATCTTAATTGGCTTTTATTTGCAATGCAATCCAGAATCAAACAACACTTTCTCCTATAAAATAGAATGACCCGTCTGATGCACTGAGCAGAGGAGGTTGGCTTTGGAGACAAAAGGGGCTAAACTGGTTTCAAAATTGCTTTCCTTGTAAAGGTTAAAGCAGAGGAGACACCCTTATCATGCTATCTAAAACTGGCTTGTTTGGGGATTTGGCTGTTGTCTCTCTTACTCTCCTTAAAAGATCAGATAAGCAACTTAATTCCCACTTAAAGTTGTGGAACTTCAGCATAAGTAACTCCATTTTGCTTTGGTCTTTTAGGCCTGGTGTAGAAGCTCAGGCAAAACCAATGGCCTCCTATGAATTTTATTTAACAGGAGTGAAATTGTAAAATTAAAATATGTATGTACTATGTGCTGTAATGAACTACTTAAGGAAACAAGATAAGGGAACAACTCTGTATTGATAAGAACTGAAAGACATAGTAATTTAGATGAGTATAGTATTTCTTTTTTTTTTTTTTTTTTTGAGACGTGTGGGGAACACTTCCGTGTGAGACCCCTAAAAGGCGTGAGTCTCACTATACGGTGAGTTTGATCCCAAACACAGTTTCCTACTGGAGGCAGTCGAGCTATCCGGAAATATAGGAACTGAAAGATGAATGATCAGTTTCTAATATCAACCACAATATCGTTTGGGCCTAAAACTATGTGTTGCTGCTAGACCGAGTAACCCCCTACCAGCAACCGGTTCCTGCTATGACCTTTTTATGACTTTAAGAATAAGTTTTAACCTTTACTTACCTAACTGCCTTGTACCCTAGATAATGGTTTAACTGTCGATATTTGCAAAGAAAAATGCCACCATAAGGGATGGCTTGGATTCCTAACTCAGAGATTCATGAATAATGTTTAGATATAAACAATTCTTGTGAACAATGTTTGGATATAAACAAGCTTTGTGAATAATGTTTGGATGCAAACAAACTTTGTGATTGTAGAAAATTTTGTTACTTTTTACAACCATTGATCGCATATCTGACTTCTCTATTGTATAGGCCATGTGAGGCATACATTTACATTCCTCTTACTATGACGTAGACCAAAGCCAAGAAAGTGTATTTATTCCTGGCCTTTGAAAAATAAAATTTGCTGTTTAGGCACAGCCTATCAGCCCTTCAGACGCCTCGCTTTCTCTCTCTCTGTCTTTATTATTTTTCCAGGCGCACTCCCTCTTCCAAGTATTGGGACCCTCTTGCAGGTCGAGAGACCCCCAGGCAGACGTGCCTACCCGTCCCGGACAGTCCACGACAGAGACGGAGTTTCGCTCTTGTTACCCAGGCTGGAGTGCAATGGCGCAATCTTGGCTCACTGCAACCTCCGCCTCCTGGGTTCAGGCAATTCTCCTGCCTCAGCCTCCTGAGTAGCTGGGATTACAGGCACGTGCCACCATGCCCAGCTAATTTTTTGCATTTTTTTAGTAGAGACGGGGTTTTACCATGTTGACCAGAATGGTCTCGATCTGTCGACCTCGTGATCCACCCGCCTCGGCCTCCCAAAGTGCTGGGATTACAGGCTTGAGCCACGGCGCCTGGCCCGAGTATAGTATTTCTATTAAGCTACTGTAGTTTTCTTTTAAAGAACAATGAATGCAGATTAGTCACTAATCCTGTACCATCTTGCACTTTGGGAAAAGGATGTGCTAGTCTTACAAAGGTGAATTCATTTTTTTAATTATATGTTGGTGCCTTGTAATCTGTGCTGAGAATAAGTATTAGTATTTACAGGCTTTATAAATCATGCTTTTTAATGTTCAGTAACTTACTCTTAAAAGAAGACACATTTAAAGAGTCATAACTTTTCTTAACAAGTTCTACTGTTGTAGGACTTTCTTCTCAGTTCAGCTAAAAACCAGGTTCTTGTTATGTGACCAGGAAAGATTAGGTTCATGGACACATAGAAGGGTGAGAAAACTAGAATTTATTGCGTGAAAAAGGAAAAAGAGAAAAACTTTCAGCAGAGTGAA